ACTTTGTCGCAAACAATTGCAAGCTTTCGTTCTCTTCAGCTATGTGAGGCCCTAACACTCGCAATGAGTGACAGGTTTAAAAAAAGACATTTTTTTCTATTTGCTTGCATTGATATGAAAAAAAGCCTTCACCAAACAGTCTTTCCCATGCTCCTCAAATTTAAATGATTTAAATTAGCGAAAGAAAATTATACGTAATGATGTCCAATCTGAACCGTGAGGGTTTTTTTTATAATTTAACAGGGTGAAGCAACGCGTAACTTTGCTATATATCCTGAACATCAAGAGAAATAACTGTCTTGGACAGTGTTGCACAATCGGTATCGACTTACAAGAGTATGGAAAACCGAAACCTGCCAGTGACTTATTAGTGTTCCATAAATCAGCTGTCACTTTGGTGTAAAATGTCATATTCTCTCAATGTTGAAAGTGAGGTACTATATTGTTGTTATCTCCTATCTTCTGTATAAAAAAAAAGAAAGAAAAGAAATAAATAAAATGCTAATCGTTGCATATCCCGTGTGTTTCCTTTGTTAGAGAGTCTCAATGAGGTTAACCGATAGTCGTTAAACGACCAAACATTTAGTCGACAGCCGTAAATAGGGTAAAAGAAGATATATCGTAAAAAAAGTCGTTCCCGAGATTAACTCACTTATGACCGGTAACGTTTCTTATTTCGCTGCTACTTTGACTCTGTACTTTCGCGTGCGAGCTTTTGCTTTTTCATAAAGATTATTTTTACATGAACCGGTTATACCTCTTATCAGAAATAATCCTTTCCATTCCTCACAAAATAAAGGTTCGTTGCCTGGCAACCATTTCAACCTGGCAACCATGCCATTTCAACTCCCAAGAGAAACTTAAGACAATGCTTATGCAAAAATTTGGAGTGACAAACAAAGAGTATTATGGTATGTTATGGTATTTCTGGAGCGGTCAATTAACTTTACTCTTCCTAGTATTTTTTTTTAATTTAATCTCAAACGATATACCTTAATTCAGGAAAGTATCGCTGTGGAATTAAGTTTTATGGAAACAAGAACAACGTACGTTGTATCCCAAACAAAAATGCTCGTCGCGTAAAATGCCCGTAAAATTAAAGGACTTCGAGGTGTTGAGCAGTTTTGATCTCGCCCTATTGAGTTCATCTTTTGCCGAACAAAATATTTATCACAAACTTTTATTATGTGGCTCAAGTTCCCTGATTCTTCTATCCTTGTTTGGCACAAAAAAAGATCGTGACTTTTCTACCAAATGCGATAAAAATAAATTAATGGTAATTAATTGTTAATTGTAAATTAAAGTTTAGTTTTTGTTTTCCTTTCGATCACAGCTACATCAACACACACATACATGTAAGTTGGAAGGTGAAGTAAGATTTTGAGTAGCAAAAATTTATTATACGTTATTTGCCGGCCTAGGAATGTCCGTATAGAAAAACAATGCCGGCAGTCTTGAGTAAGACCTCAACGCAGTTTTGTTTCCTTTACGGATCTACAGGGATGTAAAAAGTATAATCGTTATATTTTATCCTCAGATGAATTGAAAGCCAATTTTCATATATTTGTCATGATTCTCCGCTGCGTGTTCCGCTAATACGTGTACGCTATCCGTCAAGAAGTCATACATTTGAAGATAAGGAAGCCGTCCTGAGTAGCTTCGATCTGTAACGAATACAATAAAAGAGTAAACGATTGTTTTTCCTTTCTTTTTAACTTAATTTTAAAACCAAAATCTGTTACAAAAATCTTTTAAATAAGGGAATATTTATAAACAAACAGAAAAATGCGTTGAGTAAAATAATAATTATAATATTGCTCGGAAAGGTCTAAATAATTTTTAAAATATGGACTCAGGCCAATAGAAAGAACAAATATTTCGACGTTATCACAACGTCCTTCGAAACTGAGGAAGACGTTACGATTAAATCCAAAATATTATGGTTTCAAACGTCTCTGACCCTGGACATGTAATGAATACGGTCTTTCGAATCTCTGATCGAGTCTCTTAAATTATAAATTTTCCTTGAGGAAATTAACTCCAAAGTTCCTCAGCTTCGGTTGATATTATCGCTTACGCTGCCTCTAAACTACACGTGTCACTCAGTTGTTTTAGGCCCACTGTGAAGAACTTTACTTTGATTCACCGTTTTTGGTTTGTAGTGTCAAGCGTCAGCGTGCAGTGACCAAAAAATATGCACCTGTTCCTTATTTGGAAAGAGATCCAGTTCCCCCCGATTCAAAGTTGACTGCATTAATTGGTATTGAGAAAGTTGCAAACGATATCCCCTCAAACACGGTGATATTGTATGTCTTGATCAAGACATAATTTAGCTATGAAATTTAAAGTGCACTGGCTAGTGTGTGATCTATGTTTGTCTGTTTGTTACTTTGTTTTTTTGTTTGCCATTGTATCAATTCGGTGGCATGATTGAAGTAGAGTTCCTTGACTTTGGACTAGGACCTAGAAACAGCTAAATGCGCAAACTAGCACAAAACGTGAGCCGACAGCAAATTTTGTCTTGTGTGTAAATTTTAAAATGCTCATCTTTAGACAGATGGAACGAAAACACACAAACGACGCAATTTTAATCAGATTCTCTAGAACAGTTCCCTGAAGGTTAGGTTTTTGAAGGATCCAGGCCCTTTCTACTGCTTGTGACGTCATCCGTTTTAATAGTCAAGGACAAATATGTCCGCTTACTTGTGCACGGTGAAGAGATCTTTCAAACCATACCAGAATGAGCACAATTCAGTCAAGGACAACGGAAAAAGAGGCAAAAAAAAAATGTAACATTGACCTGAAAACCATGCTCCACTACCGGCCTATTTTTCCTTTCATCTAATTCTAAGATGCTAAAAGCTTTCCTTAAAACATTTCCCACCAAAATGAAGCCTACTAAATTCCCAGCAAAAGAAAAAAAAATGAGTCAAGAAAAGGGGAAAAAGAGGGGAGGAGAAATAGCGAAAAGTAAAAGTCAAGACTGCTGTGTCAGACATGTATTCCAACTTACTTATACCGCTATGGTTGACAAACTCATTCAACAAGAAAAGCTGAATCGCTGCAACGGCTGTGCTATTCAACACACAAGTTAAAGTAAACAGTCGTGCCTGATGATGGATAACAAAGTAGCTTGGATGTATCACCACGGTGATTTTTTGGAGAACATTGATCTGAATGCAGTGCTGAAAACTACCGAACGCGTATGCAGTGCTCTTGGCTTCAAGCTAGCTAATTCATGGGAAGCGTACATGTACGTGAACAAGCTGCCAAAGTTGCCTTGTGCATGTATTTACCTTTAGTTACTTGTGCATGTTGAGAGCTTGATAGTGTTGATGACGATCTTCAGACCCGAATCTTGCACGCTCTACCCTACGGACCCTAGTTCTCGCTAGTTCTCTACTTTTCAAAATTTTGTTGTCATTGATTGCATATAGCTTAAAATCTTAATAAACAACACGAACAACTTTTCCAGCAGTCGGTTATCGTCGTTTTTCATTTGTTTGTTTATTTACTTTTGTTTCTTACCAAGATCACTTTCTTCCACTTGAATTCAATTTGAAGGCATGGGAGTTAAGCTTTGACCACGTGGTCTGATTATGTATTTGCAAACCTTTAGCCTTGCAGTTGAAGTTATAAGAACTTCCACCTCTTCGAAATTTTATACCCAAAAATTTATGATAAAATGTTTTTAAATGAGAGAATATGTAAACAAGCTGACAAACGCGTCCACTGAAAACAATCATTATAATATTGCGCGGAAATGTTATAAAAATAATTTTTTCAGTGTGACGACTTCAACCGGGGCCACCTAACAACTTTAAGCCAATCAAAAACCGCTCCTTTAACAGAGAATTGGGCGTGCGGACCTCATTGGGAACTGCTTAATTTTTCGATTGGTTGGTTTCGATCCTAACTGTTTTCGCCGTTTAGAATGGTGTGTCCTAAACACTTACCCGCCTTTCTTCTGTGGCTACTTTTTCTAAAATATACATGCTGTTTTATATGTATTGAAGGGCTGGTTATACTTATTGCTTGGCAAGAGTTATAAAAGTGCCTTGTATCTATGGAGGAAAAGCATGCAGTCTGGTTACAAGACGTCGTTTGAAAATATCGCGAGTGTCCTCGTTACCGCTGAATTGTATTCTCTTATTCCTACAACTAGACGTCATCATTCTAGATCTGGGTCAAGAATATTCATTTGTGAAAAAAAGGAAGGGTAAGTTTTTCTTTAACAGAAACACTTGTGGTCAACAAGAAAAAAAAACTAACGGCCGGGCTGGCGCTGGGCGCTGTTTTTATCAAGAAGACAAGGAGTAATCCCAATACCCGCTTGTTCTAAAAACGCGTTTTTTTTTTCTTTCAACCCCGGAGAAATATTTTAGCAACAAGAGAAACAAAAAATGAACAAGGTGTTCGATCACGGGATGGGAAAGTATGCTCAGTCTGGTTTTGCGTGGCATTTCATTTGCATTCTGTATGTCCTTAAACCTTCCTCCGGTTCCAAGGATCGCACGTTGAGATTGCCCAGTGTTAGGGAGATCTAGAACCCTTTCGCGGACAAGATGTGGCAAGTTTCTACCATTATCGTAAGGACCACTAAACTGATTAATTGTCAGCTGCACAGACATGATTTCGACTTTCACTTCCAAGAAGGCAACGCACGTCAACAAGTAAAAATTTAAATTTATTTACGAGAAAAATGAAAACAGGATTCTTTGGTCTATGATTGGCTATCGCTAGAAGAAAGCCATTCTAAACGGCGGAAAATTTAGGATCGAGACAAACCAATCGAAAGATAGGACAGTTCCCATTGTGGTCCGCACGCCCAATTTTTTGCTAAAGGAGCGGTTTCTGATTGGCTGAAAGTTCATAGGTTGCCACCAGGCGGTGTGCGTCACGAAGCACAAAGATTCATGGGTAAAACTTTTAATGTACCTCATTTTAATCGTGACACGGTCGAGTACGCATCTTGTGAGAAACATGGATCAAAACCCGAG